CATTGCCCTTTTTATTTTCCTTACCTGAAATTATTTTGTTTACATTTTTATTATTTGTAAGCTCCACATGGGACAGTGTCCGTCTCTGTTTACAGTTTTTTTTGTTTTGTTTTTTTGGTTTTTCTCTGGTACCGGGAACCGAACTCACGACCTTGCGCTTGCCAGGCAGGCGCTTTTGCCGCTGAGCTAAATCCCCAGCCCCCTCTTGAATTATTTTATAAAAATAAAGAGAACCTTCACATCTTAAATATCATGGAGATTACATGTTACTAATCCTAGCTTAGTTCTTAACTTTAAAATCATCTTTAAATAAATCACCTATCTCTTAACATTCTAAAGTGTTTTTTAAATTACACAAAACTTAATGCATCCTGAAGCCCCATGCCATCTCTGGCCTCCTTTCCTCTAACTCTTCCCCTGCCATAGTTGGTTACAGCTGTCCTGCTTCTCCTTGAGCACACGACATCCCTCCACCTCACGGCCTTTGCACACACTAGTCCCTGCCTGTAGCATGGCTTCCCCAGGGAGCTACATTATGTGGCTTTGTTTCTACAACTCCTTCAAATCTTGGCTTAAGTGCTAACTACTCTTGAAACTCCAAGTCCCTCTTCCCTGTCCCCTGGATTATTTTCCATACCTACTATATAACATATTTGCCTACTGATTGCCTTCCCTCTAAAGTAAAGATTAGGATGGCTTTTTTTTTCAGGGCTGGGGATTTAGCTCAGCAGCAAAGTGCCTGCCTGGCAAGCACAAGGTCGTGAGTTCAATTCCTGGTACCGGAAGAAAAGACAAAAAACTAAACAACCCAGGATGGCTTTTTTTTCTTTTCTACTCATTACCATCCCCGTAGCACACAGAACAGTGTCTGGGACACACTGAGAGATAAGATTCATTAAGTGTGAGTTGAATAAGTGAGTGCAGGACAAAACAGGTATAAAATTACTGAAAGACAAGGGTGGCACAAGATTGCTTAAGTAATATTTTACAAACTTTGGTTCTTTTTTTTTTTTTTTTGGTACCAGGAATCAAACTTAGAACCTTGCACTTGCCAGGCAAGAACTGTGCTGCTGAGCTAGATCCTCGGCCCAGAACTTTGATTCTTAACTATGTGACTATATTACCAACTTTTAAACTAAGAAAACCACAGATGGAATGTAAACTTTCATGTTTTTAGAGTAATGTTCGTGCTAGCTGGGGTTGATAAAACCACTACATGACTTGACTTCTCTCTTGATCTTGCGCTGTAAAGGGTGAAATTTAGATTCTGTGAGGAGCGGGAAGACAAGTGTGTGGGAAGGAAGATGTATCTTAATTCCTAGCACATACTCTGGAGACACAGAAATGATTTGGTGCTGGGGATTTAGCTCAGTGGCACGGTGCCTGCCTGGCAAGTGCAAGGTCGAGAGTTCGATTCCCGGTACCAGAGAAAACAAAACAAAACAAAAGAAGAAATGATTAGGAGGTAGTCCTTGTCCTTAGGAAGCTCACTGTCCAGTGGGCACATCAATAAACATCTTAACACTCTCTAAAATGACGAGTGCATTCAAGATAGCTTCTATGAGTATTTATATACATACATGATAGTTCAATTTGAGTAATTATAAACAATGCAAATTTCTCTAAATATTATTTACTCTTGTTTTGAAAAGACAAACATGTTCCTTTTTCTTTTTAGCTTAAATTCAAAATGAGATAGCATACGGTTAATTCATGGAGATTGAAATTTCAGCTTTACCATTAAAAAAGCTACTCTGGAGAACAGGCTTAGGTATCCCGATGAACACACTCAGTAATGTGCTGCTGCTCACCACTGAGTCCTTACCATCACTGATACCCAGTATCAATTATTGTCAAAGTAAAATATTGACGGTGATGCAAAAATTTGGAGGGTGTATCACCTATATATCCCATAGAGTGTGTATTTGGAAAATAATTAAGACAGAGACTTTAAAATGGAACAACAGGCCAAGGGGATAGCTCAGTGGCACAGCGCCTGCCTGGCAAGTGCAAACTCCTGAGTTTGATTCCTGGTACCAAAAGAAAAAAAACAAAACCAGCTGTTTTGGCCAGGCACAGTAGTACATGCCTATAATCCCAGTACTCAGGAGGCAGAGGCAGGAGGATCAGCCTTGACTACAAAATGAGTTCAAGGCCAGCCTGAACTACACAGCCAGACCCTGTTTCAATAAATAAATAAATAAATAAATAAATAAATAAAATGGAACAATGAAAAAATAAATGGTAATAAGCAGCAAAATTACTACAAATAGAGGGATGGGAGAATGCCAAAGCCATAGACTCTTAGAACAGACAAACTTCAAGGGAAAACTAAATTATCTGAAACATAAAATATTAAGATATTTTAGCAAAGGGTAGCAATTGGGTAACTAGAGGTAAAGTCTAAAATCTTTTTAAAGGTTTCATCATATCAGGGTAGAAGGTAAAGCAATGGGCAAAGAGAACCCTAGCATTTTAAGATCTTTTTTTAGAATATCAGAAAATATACCGGAAAATATTTTGAAACTGTTTTATGTGATACCTGAGAAATATCTGGGAATTTGTTTTCATATAGTAGTAAAGTAGCAGAAAAAAAAAAAAGAACGCCAATGGAATAAAATATTCTCTTCAGTAGAATGTTCACATCAACAAGGGAGAAAATGAATGAATATCTCAAATCAGAAAAAGATAAGGAAGCCAGGGGTGGTGGTGCATGCCTGTAATCCCAGCACTTGGGAGGCTGATGCACGAGGATCACTGTGAGGTTGAGGCCAGCCTGAATAACACAGTGAGTTCAAGGCTGGTCTGAACTACATGGTAAAATCCTGTCTTAAAAAGACAAAAAAAAGTACTCATCAGAATTAAAAGAGTCATTGTTAGGATAAAAGGTACTTCTGGAAGAAAATGTAAAAAAACCTGTACCAACCAACAATACAATAGTATATGCAAATTTCAAAACTTTTCTCAGGCCGGGAGCGGTGGCGCACGCCTGTAATCCCAGCACTCTGGAGGCTGAGGCAGGAGGATCCTTGAGAGTTCAAGACCAGCCTGGGCTACAAAGTGAGCTCAAGGCCAGCCTGAATTACATTGCAAGACCCTGTCTCAAAAAGACAAAAAAAAAAAAAAAAAATTTGTTTTCTTAAACTTGATAAAATATAATTCAAATAGAAGCTTTTAATATGAACCTCTTAAGAGTCAAACTTATCTAATAGATAAAAAGTAGGGTCATAAATGATTTGAACATACAATACACTTATTTTGATATATTAAAGCTTCTCACTAGAGAATATACATTTTTGTGTATGATCAAACATATCCAAAAATATTTTAGGTTGAGCCACAAAGAAATCTTAACACATTTCAAATAAAGACTTTTACCAAATGTATTCTTGCATCACAAAAATATGGACAAAAATTATTCTAAATAATTAGAAATTAAGAACATGGTGATAAATAGCACTTTAGATCAAATAGGAAAGAAACTGATTTCATAACATGTAAAAACTATAAATAAGAAAAACTGTATTTTCATAACTATGAAAAAAAAGCCCAAATTGCATTAGAGGAAAATATATAGCATGAAACATCTTCATCGAACTGTTGCCCTCTGTCATGTGCCACCCTGCCTTGGAGCCAGCTGATTACGGACTGAAACCACCACAAACTGTGAGCTAAATAAACCATTCCCCCTTCGAAAAAAGAAAAAAAGAAAGAAATATCTTCATTATTAAAAAGTAAATAATAAGATTTTTTTAAAATGTTCATGTCTTTCTTCAAAAAGTGATCATTATACAAATATATTTTCACAGATTTAATTAGTACAGTTAAGATTTACTCACAGCTGCTTTTGATTAGGGTCCAGTAATAGGTTTAGAGCTTGTAACAATTTATTTAAATTAAACATCCCAATATTGGCCTGATTTCCTATTTTGTATCTTTTTTCGTCATCAGATGTGTTTGATACAAAGTCTGTTTAAAAGAAAATATTAAAAAATAAATAAATAAAAGAAAATATTATGGCTTTACAGTGGGGACAATTATAATAAATAGCCTTTTTGTTTTAAGTTTATACTTAAACTTATAAATGTATATTAGGTAAAAATCTTTCCGATGTTACTTAACTACAAAGAAATACAGATACTTCGTACCCATCTATACTAAAAGCTTTTGAAATGTAAACATTTTCCTAATAAGAATACAATTCCAGCCCACAAGAATTTCCATTTTATCACATATGTATGCCCCTACCCTTTTTTTTTTTTGACAGTGCTGAGAGCCAAATGCCGCCAGGCCAATGCTCTATCCCTGAGCTGCATCCACACGTGTGTATCAAACTCCAGCTAGAGTACATGTTCTTCACACACTCTCTGATCCTTGCAGGTGTAAGCAGTGTATTATCGTTACCCAGATTTTATTTATTAATAAAGTGAGAGATTTCCAAAGGCACAACCATTAAGGGCCAGATGCTAAAACTCACATCTATGTCTGCCAGACAACACAGTCACTGATACGCTTCATGTCACCGTTTCTAATACGGCATTCCTTGAGGGCAGAGACCTCAGGCTTCATTACTGCACTGCCTATGTCTCACAGAAGATCTATGCGCACATAAAAATGACTATTCTAGAATGAACATTTCTTTCTACTATCCTCTCTTTCTACTATGCTATCACTGTATTTATTACCATTAAAAGTTTACCTAAAATAAACCTGAGGTTCTTTCTCTAGTGAAACACACACACATATACCACACATACCACACCAGACATACCTGGATTATAGGCCTCCATGAACCCAAAGGGACCGTAGTCAATAGTAATGGATAACAAACTGAAGTTATCGGTATTACAAACACCTAGAACAACAAAGAACCCAAAAACTTCATAATAATGATTTTCTCTGTATCTTTTTTTGTTTTTGGTTTTGTTTTTCATTTTAATTTTTGATTTTCGTTTCACTGCCAAGGCCCTCGTGCCTGCTAGGCAAGCATTCATTCCATCACTGAGCTACACTCAGCCACCAACCAAGTTTTTCCTTTAACTCTATAGGATTATCCAGAATAAGAAGGCTCTTAAGAATGGTATTTGTCTTAGAGATGAGACAAAATTAAATTATCACTTGAAATTTAATTGGTGAAATTAATAGCTTGACATGTGTGAAAACTATACTTTAAAATTAAATTTAGCCTTTTGATTTATCGCCCCTCCTCCCCCAATAAAGATTTCAAATATTGTAGGCACAAAACCCCAACAAATGGAATTTTCCTCATTCTCTAGCATTTGTTTAAAAACATATATTATTTGAAATGGGACTAGTTAAAGAAGAATAAAATAAATTAATTTTCATTTTCATAGGTTGTGAAAATGGGAAAAGATCAAAATATGCGTTTGTTACCCCATGGCAGTCCTCAGCTTCAGAACATTAGCAGCGTGGGAAACCCAGCTCTTTTTTAGCTGTTGAACTTTCAGGGGTTTTGTTTTTGTTTCTTTGGGGGATGGTTTTGGTTTTGATTCCTTTCCTAGAAACATCTGTATATAATAGAGGAAAAAACTAGAAGAATTGCTATGAAGTGGTTAACACTAGTTAGGAAGATGAAATTCCCACTTACTTCTCTATATTTTTTTTTTTGGTTTCTTTTTTTGTTTTTTTTTCCGGTACCGGGACTCGAACTCACGACCTTGCACTTGACAGGCAGGCGCTATGCTGCTGAGTTAAATCCCCAGCCCCTACTTCTCTATACTTTAAATTACTTACCATACCATGTAGTTCTTTAAATATCCTTAAAGAACCCTGAACATAACATACAGTCATACATGCAATGATAAGGTCAAATAGATTTACGAGTAACATCATTCTATTTTGTGATCACTCTTCCATTGAAAACCATTTCAACAATCTGTTGCTAAGAACAAGCTTGTATATTAAAAACGTTAAGAAGCTCATTAGGATAAATATTTTTAAATACACAAAAAGAAGTCATTCACTTCAACTAATTCTAATTTCTTCACAGCAGAGTAAAATATCATAGGTAATTTACCGTGAGCAAAACCAACAGACATCCATAAGGCAATAAGCTGTGCTGTCTCAGATACTACTGTAGAAAAAAAATCCTAAAATAAAATTTAGAGAAAATGTTAGTTTTTCAACAGTATACATTTTAATCTTTTAGGACCCTCTCATAACATAAAGTGTAATCTTTAGGGAGAACATGGGAAGAAGTCCAATGTGGGCCATGAGGAGTTTAAAAAAACAGAAACAGGGGCTGGGGATTTAGCTCAGCGGCACAGCACCTGCCTGGTAAGTACAAGGTTGTGAGTTCGATTCCCGGTACTGGAAAACAAAACAAAACAAAACAAAACAAAACAAAGCATAAAAAAACAGAAACAGGTATATGTCAGAAAAAGGAAAGAAAAATTATTCATGCAGAAATAATATATAAAAGACTCAGAGTACTATGATCAGCATTCTCCATGCCTAATAAGAAAGGTGAGAGTAACAGAATTCACAAGGAAGTTAAATTAAAGCAATGGAAACTGTTAAATTTGCAGTGTGTCACCAAGAAAAATAGAATTCCTTTTGCTGAGAATGTTTAAAGAATGAAAAAGTGATTAAGATCAAAAACTTTCCACAAGAATAGGGGGGAAAAAAGAATAGGAAATCACACTGTCCTATAATCTACTGGGTTCCTTTTAAAATTTCTACTATAAGAAGGGGAAGTATTAGGACACACAGGGCTTGGGAGGGCAGTAGGACAGTACTAGAGAGTAGCTATGTTCAAAGCACGGTGTACACACAAGTAAGAAAACGTCACAAAGAAACCCATTCTAACATAAGCTAGTAATTTCAATTTTAAAAAGAATTAGCAAAAGAGATGGGAAATAGGCGCTTTTGAACAAAAAAATTAAATGAAAAAAACTACCACTATAGAACTATCTATGGTATATACCTAATGTGCGAGGAAAGAATGTATGTGACCCAGTTATAAATGCCACCCCAAAGTAACATACGCAGTCAAGATATCGGAACACCTGTTCTTCTTTTCTAGTCACAATTCAAACAAAACAACTGTCTTGCCTATGATGAGGTTCATCTTATCTTCCTCTAACAAAATGTTCAAGGTAAAAAAAAAAAGTTCAAGGTGCTTTACACTTCCTTTCCCAGCTATACTTTTGTAAGTTGTAGCGTCCAAGGTCTGTACGCCAACAAAAGAAAATGCAGTACGGACTTTTCTCTTCAAAAACTTACCAAGTATCTGTTAGGCCCTTTGACATCTACTAATGGAAAGTGTTCCTGTATGATGAAGTCTAACAGTGTCCTGGGATAAAAAGGACCCAGCATCAGTGTTTCTTAGAGTACCGTGTCCCATGAATAAGTGCTGAACCCACCCTGAACACCTATGAGTCACTAGACCAGCCTTAACATTTAGAAACTTTAGAATAAGATCTTACCCCAAAGTAGACAAAAATAGTTCCACTACAACAATCAAATACAGAAATACGGTTGGAAGATCACATTATATTCTACCTTATTATGTTCCACATTTGGGTAAATTTGACAAACATTCACTGAGTTCCTACTGTATGCCAAGCCCAAGGCAAGTACTAGGAAAAAGCGGTAAGACTCACACCTAGACTTCAGAGGACACAGTCTATCAGGGAAGACCACGCAGAAATCATCACATTGCAGTATAATAACTGTAATAATGTATAGAAATAAGAGCAGGGAACGATCATTTATATGTCGGTCATTTAAAACTTCCTAAATAAAGACTACAAAAAATTGGAAAATGTCTGAAGTTAAAGCGCTTAAAACACTGATGTACTATACTTTTTATTTCCTATTCTAACAAACTATTCTAGTTAACTGACTAACCAAGAGAATTGACTGCTTTGGATGAGAGGGAGTGAGGGGGTGGGATTGGGCTGTAGAGGGTCTGTCTAATAACTAGACAGATGGAAAAGTAATGTCATGTTGGCCAGTGTAGGAGGCTATTCAAGGATGGAGTAGAGAGCAGTACACACCAAAACCAGAGTAAGTGAAACCAGAACTGAAATATGACCACTAGACAAAACAGTTTTGGGCTGGGGATTTAGCTCAGCAGCACAGAGCCTGCCTGGCAAGTGCAAGGTCATGAGTTCAATTCCCAGTACCAGAAAAAACAAAACAACAACAAAAAAAAAATTGACAAAACAGTTTCAAGGCTGGGGACTAGCTCAGTGGGATTGTACATGCCTAGCACACATGAGACCCTGGGTTTGATCTCCAGCACTAGGAAAAAAAATGTGACCAAGATGAAACAATATTCAGTAGTGATACAGGAAAATAAAAACCCCCAACCTGAACGATGTCTGGGACGAGTTCGCGTTCTCCAAAATCAAAGAAAGAATTTTAGGAACAACGGAGGTTAAGAGCAGAATATATTCACTGAGAGAAAGAAAGCTTCTGTCCAAAGAGAGGGATAGAAGCGGGGCCGACTGGGTTGCCCCAGACTCTGCCTTTTCTAGGGGCTTTTATAGAGCAAAACCATGAGGTGAGGTGGGTCCAAGGTAGGGAAAAAATGGACAAAACTATGGTCGCCCAATAAGAATTGTTCAGGTAAAATTGATTAAATCAGGATCAAATGGGGAAGCGAGTCACATAGCAAGCAGGCATGAATACAGAACAGGGGCTTCTCCTGTAAGGGGTTGGGTCAGTGACTCTTCAAGGTGATCGCTACCTATTTAGAATACTAATCCCTGATGTTTACACATAGCGAGGTATGTGGGTGCATTTGTTTAATCTTTCATCTTGAGGTCTGGCCCACAGCAAGTATGTATCTTATCTTGTCTTTCACGTTGGCTCCTTGGAGGACCTGGCCCTGTCTGACTGCCTATAATATTTCTATCTAACTCAGCTGCCTGTGACAGTAGCATGGTGAATCCAAACAATAGTAACTTGAAGAAAAGCAAACCAGTGGTCAGAAATACCATGAAATAGTGGGAACAGTGACCTCACTCCTTCAGCAGCATGACCATGAGCTCAGTAAATATTTCCTGACGTCAGACACTCAGAGAATGGAAGCGACAAGGGTGATAACTCGCTTCTCCGCTCTGCTCATTCATTTCCTTCATTTTTTCCTCTCCACATTCCTCGTGTACCAAACCTGGATCTACTAGTACTAGTTACTACAATATAAGGTCCATATTCCAAAGGACTGTAGTTTGCCTAAGGTCATTTTTCTTACGTATGTCTAATGATTTTTTAAACTGTATTCCTTTCAATGTATACAGAAGTCCTCTTGAAGGAAGAAATGTTTTTGTCTGAAGAAATATCCTAAGTCTGCTTGAGGAAGATAGGGCTTTGCGTGCACAGATACCAGCAGATGCCAGACATCAGAGAGTGACTGACGCTGAACTGCGTGACCCAAGGGGAAGATTTTATTGCTTTTGTTCTTTTAAAGCAACCTCTCCTCCATCTTCTCCCTGCAATCTTCAAAAACATGCAAAGTTTCTGTGTAAATATGGTCTGTGGTTTTTGTCTTGTTGAAGAGATTAAGTTTCACTTCCGGGTCAAACCAGAGTGTGAAGAGAGGATGCACCCAGGAAATCCCAGAAATTGGGAGGAGAGCTAGGGAATTCCTGAGGCTTCCCCCATGTCTCTGAGTGGCATGAAGGCTCTCAGCTATTACTGACTTGCAAATTACATAATAGATTACTTGAGAAAAGGGACTACTGGGGATAATTCTTTTTTAAATTCCTAAAAAACACCTCACAAGAAGCAGGGAATGGTAGCACACATCTATAACCCCAGCTACTCAGCAGGATAAGGCAGGAGGATCATGAGTTCCAGGCCAGTCTGGACTACACAGTGAGACCTTATCTCCACAAAAAGGGGTTGGGGTGTAGCTCAGTGGTGGAGTGTTTTCCTAGCACATTTAAGAACCCTGGATTTAATCACTAGTACCATGAAAAAAAAGAGAACTTCTTGGTTTTACTTCCAAGAAGACAAAAAGTATTTAACTTCACAGCATGTATGTAAGCATTTTTCTTTTTGTATTTTTTTAAGTGTAATTTTCCTAGTCAGCCTTTAAAAAAGAAGGAAATCCTGTCATTACCAACAATGTGGATATACCTGGAAGATATGCTAAGTGAAATAAGTCGGGTCAGAAAAACAACTATTGCATAGTTTCACTTCTATGTGGAATCTGAAGAAGTTGAACTCATAAAAATAGAGTAGAATGGTTGTTACCAAGGGTCGGGGGCTGCAAGAAATGGGGAAATTCTGCCCAAAGTTATAAGATGAGTGAGTCATGCAGACCTAAGGTATAAACTATAGTTAATAATAATATCCTGTATGCTTGAAATTTGCTGAGTGTGGGTCTTATGTGTTGATTGTCTTGATTGGGTAATCATTTTACATTATGTATACACATCAAAACATCACAGTGTACACCTCAAACATATATACAATCTTACAGTCATGTCAATAACAGCTTTAAAAATAATTTTCTAACCTCAGCAAATCCAGTTCACCATAATGAGCCAAAATTTCTAATGATCCAATTCTAAACCACGACTTTGCAACACGAAGCACAACTGCACCTTAAAAAAAAGATTTTAACATAAAACTTTTTAAAGTTATGTTAGGAACAGTGAAATATTTTTCTTAAAATGAAATTTTTTTTTTTTTTTTTACTGGTACCGGGGATCGAACTCACAACCTTGCGATTGCCGGGCAGGTGCTGTGCCACTGAGCTAAATCCCCAGCCCCAAAATGAAATTATTTTAATAAAAAAGAATACAGCTAAAAAAAGAAAAAGAATACAGCTACTGAATCCACCAGAAAAGCAACTAATTTATATCCCTTAAAAAGTCAGGGATTTTTTCTGCCACTTTAAGCCTGAATCAGAACATTCAGACCATAACACAGCTAGAAACAGCAAGGCTTCAACCCAACTAACCAGCTGGGAAGTAGCTACAGCAGATATTTAATAGATATTTGCATAACCCTCCTCCCTGTTCTCTCCCCACTGGAATCCTACCTCCTCTTCTATTCTAAATCAGTTTCTACTTCCTCCACAAAGCTCACTGATCCTCCTTTTACTGACCTCTCATTTTTGATTGTCCAGTTTGAAGTCTTTTCTCTACCAAGGCTGTGAGTTTTGAGACTAAGAACTGAGCCATACTACTCCCAGATCCACTAGAGTTTAGCCCAATGGTAAGCGGAGTAAAGAACCACAGAATGTGTCCTGAGTTATCCACAAGGTCAAGATTTATTCACTATACTAACATAGATATTTATTTTCTGTGATTTTGGAACAGTAAGAATGTAAAGTCATTCAGAAAATATTTACAAGAGCTCTATAAATTAATCTAAACATGTACTTAATGAATAGCCACTGAATCACAGAATGTTAGCAATGGAAGACATGAAAATATCATCCAATCTCACCTCCGTTTAGAAGGGAAAACTGAAGGCCAGAAAGTCTAAGTGACTCGACTAAGTTTTACAAAGCTAGTTCTGAAAGAATCAACTCCAGTTCCTACATATTCTTTTTTCTTGCCTTGTACTATTCTTACTGTACCATAATGGTCCCTTGGGCCAACATTAGGATAAAAATATAATCAAGATATCTGTACATATGCAAAGACTTAGATGTGGAAATTCCATCAGTGTCCTAACAGAAGAAGTTCTTGGGGTCAGTTGATAACATTAAGATTGTGACTTGGAATTCAGATAAATAATACATTATACAAGTCACAGCCATAAAAGTAAGTAGTGCTGTAGCAGTCATACTAACAGTCTGTGACTGGAATTTCACATCCAATCACCACAAGCAAGGAGACCTAAGCAGTTATGGGCCTCTGCATAACAGTATCATTTTATCCCAGTGACATTACAGGAAAACTGTGATATGTCAACTTGACTTGAGTGAGACCAGCCCATAGATTACCAAAGCTCTGGGCTATCTGTGAATGACTGACATATAGGTTGCAAAATGAGGAGGGTTGCCCCACCCCAGATATGGGTGTGGCCAACCAATAGGCTTCCAGCCTAGACAGAATGAAAAGGCTCTCCTTTATTTTTCCGGGGAAGATCCGATCTTTGCCATTTTCTGTGAATTTTGGTCTCCAGTTCAGGCAGGCTTCTAACACAGACTTGCCAGCCTTCTAACACAAATCCCCACATATTTCCAACAGACTTTACAGTTTCCACCAGACTCTAGAGCCCACAGACAGCCTTTCTGCATTCTTCCACCCTTGATTCTATAGGCAGCCACGGTAAGCCTACCTGCTATCTCCTTTGTATATAGTAATCATACATTTTTTTTCTATTAAGTCTGTTCCTCTAGTAAACCTCAACTGCTATAGAGATGCCATGAAGGTAAGTAGCCCTTATTAATACTTTAAGAATGAATACTTTGGGGGAACTGTGTGTCTTGAAAATCTTATAGAGAACATATTGCTACGGTTCAAAAGTTTGCACTTACTAAAATTCAAAAGTCAAAAACCTAACCACCAAGAAAGGTGTGGGGCTTTGGGAGATGATATAGGTCATGGGGCAGTCCTCATAAATGCAATTAGTGTCCTTTGAAAAGAGACCTAGATAAGCTGGGTGTGGTGATGCACGCCTATGATCCCAGCACTCAGGAAACTGAGGCAGGAGGATCTTGGCAAGTATGAGACAGCCTGGGCTACAAAGTGAGCTCAAGGCCAGCCTGAACTGCATGGCAAGACCCTGTCTCAAAAAGACAAAAAAAAGAAAAAAAAACAAAAAAAACAAAAGGGATCTATAGAGCTGCCTTCCCCTGACATCATGTGAAGACTCAGCCCCTTACATCACATGAAGACAAAGTAAAAAGGAGCCACCTGTGAAGCAGAGGGACCTCACCAGACACCGAGTCTACCAGCAAACTGAACTTAGATTTCCCAAAACTGTGAGAAATACCTTTCTACAGTTTAAGGTGTTTTTTTATAGCAGCACAAACAGATTAACATACATACCATGTACTAAGTGTAGAAAACATAAAACGTGCTCTTGCTGAATCACTATGAACAGCAGTGAGAATGCTGTCCCCTGACACAGCCACGCCCATTGCTTCCAGTAAAGCGTGTAGGACTCTCAACAGTTCTTTTTTTTTTTTTTTTTGGTTTTTTTCTGGTACCGGGAATCAACTCATGACCTTGCACTTGCCAGGCAGACACTGTGCCACTGAGCTAAATTCCCAGCCCCTTCTCAACAGTCTTGACAGCTTCACCGTCAAGCTCTTAAATGCACTTATTATTGATTTTCAGGTCTCCTCTCCTCCCCAGAGACTCAGGGTAGTTTCTCGCTCTCTCTTTTGACCCTCTAAATGTGCCTCCACAGTATACTTTTTCATCTCCTTTTTAATTTTTTATTTCTAAACTATTAAAGGCAAAGGAACTGAGTTTTCCAGAAGAAAATATAAAGTGCAACCAATCAGACTCCAAGGAATGATCTGGAGGAAGTATACATGAACCTTCCTATAATGGCTTTGGGACATTTGCCACCTATTCACAAACAGTTTTTGTTCACGTCCTAGATGTTTGCTCTTTGATAGGTTTTATTTTGGTGTTACTGGGATCAAACCCAGAGTCTCACTGATGCTAGGCAACCATGGAGCCGCATCCCCAGTCCTTCCAGGTGCTCGTTTGTTCTTTGAAAAAGGGCAACTAGTGATATAAGGATACAGGGAGGGCTTATCTATGATAATATTATAATGCTGAAATTACAGCTTGGAGAACCAGGGGTTATTTTGAAGAAGACTGTAAAAATACCCAATATGCGTTCTTGAACAACTTGGCTCAGTTTTGAATACCATAGTTATTGTGAAACCCGTTACCTCGTTCTTTTGTGATATTTCCACTGTAGAACTGATCTCTCCATACTTCATCGTCACTCACAACCAGGCTGCAACAAGAGGATCCAACATTTGAGCTTCTAGTAAGCCACCAGGACGCAGCTGAAATGACAGACTAGAGGGGACCATGCTCTCAGAGCTGTATCTCCTCCAATTACTGACACATTTTTGTCCTGACAGCTTCAAGGGAAGAAGAATTTACCTTGCAGCCCTGCTGGTTGGAATCCCAAGGGCATGCATAGCCTCACTGCACAAAAATTCTCTCACTGAGGATCGAAGTACTGCTCTACCATCGCCATTTCTACAAAAAACACAATTTAAGAGTTTCATTTGTGATTAAGACAACATCAGTTCCTCTCTAGATGACTAAAAGAATGACCAAACCAGGCTAAACGTAGCTCAGGGGTAGAAACTGCCTAGCTCTTACGAGGCCCTGGATTCAATCCCTGGCACAGCCAAAAAAAAAAAAAGACTTTGAACCATACCGGGAGTATGGAGTCTTTCCCGAGCCTTTTAACTGGAGCTCCCACTTTTCACCCTGCCTTCAAAAAGAAAACAAACAAGAAAATCACAAAATTCCATTATTAGAAGATTTATGATAGCATTTAGCAGAGAAGCTATTACCCAAGAAAATAGGAGGTACCTGTTCATGTAAATTCCAATAAGGTGCGCTCTTCCATCGCCAAGCTGATCTGCCCACACCCCAAACTAAAAGGCGAAAAGGGGAATTATTCACATTTATCACCTTTATAGATTTGACAGTAACTTCTATAGTCAAGCTTATTTTTGTCTAAAGTGGGAATGAGGTATTGCATTTTTAAGGATTACAATAACAATTAGAACTATAGTGAAAATAAATTTAATTAATAAGTGACATTCACTTAAAATGCAAATTTAAAACAATGAATTTTGGAATATCTATAGGAGCACAAGTCTGAGAGGTACCCTCAGCCTAGTCTGAAAGGCACTAAAATCAACAATGCATGAAGTACATCCCACTCTGTGAGGGGGACGGAAAATGAACGAGGAATTCAGTTCCAGAAATGCAATCAGGAAAATCAGGAACCTTATTTCCCATCAACAAAAAACATTTAAGTTCGAAATGGCAAAGATATCCATATAAATAAACATTTATAACATAATTTCAAATCAGGGAGGAGCAAGAGATGATATGAAACTGATAAAGCTTTCATCGACTATACTATCGTTAAAAATTCTCCAGAAAAGAACAGTTTAATGAAACTCTGAACGTTTGCATCTGTACTTTTATGGCATAAAATGCTTTCAGATAAATTTAACCTGTAGGTGAGATGGCTTTTTGGACCATGGGATCCCTGTATGGGGGGCAGGCCTGTACTGGGGATACTAGAAAAGATTGTAAGGATCACTTAGTCCACAAGTTTCTAAACTGAGAACCACAGTTCAGTAAAACATTAAGTTACTCCTTGAGAAGAGAATAACAAAACCCTGTAGTCACATGTCTTTTGGAAATGGTATTTTAAACAAAATTAAACAGATTTCTTTGCTGAAGCATTTCTTGCAACTCATGGAACAGCCTTGGTCAACCCCTCACCAAGCAAGAAACTAAGGTGCAAGTTTAAAACAGATGACCTGTAAAGTCCTTTCCTATTTTAATGGTTTATATCACTTTGTGTTCCAGGTCACAGAATTTTTTTTCTTTTTTTCTTTTTTTAAACAAGGTCTCACTATGTAGCCCATGTTGGCCTCAAACTCTCAGCAATTTTCCTGCCTCAGCCTCCCAAGTGTTGGGATTATAGGCATGCGCCACCATACCTAGCTAGCACACAGAAATTATTTTATTTTATTTTTGGTCCCAAGAATCAAACTCAGGACCTTGCTCTTGCCAGGCAGGTGCTTATGCCACTGAGGTATATCCCCGGCCCCATCACAGAAATTTTTTTTTTGTACCAGGAATCAAACTCAGGACCTTGTGCTTGCCAAGCAAGGCGCTGTGCTGCTGAGCTATATCCCTAGCCCCCCACCACAGAAATTTGAATAAAGGAATTTTTTTAATCTAATAAACCAGAGCCTGGTGTTACAGTTATTATAATAGCTAACACATTGCACTTTTTTGCATATTTCCTAATTTAATTTTCAAACAAATCATATTATACTTTAGTGCTAGTCCTCAAAGTTATTCCCTAGTAAGCCAGCCATTTCCAAAACAGCCCAAAAATAAACAAGCAGAGTTTAGTTGTATCTCGCTTACAGAGAAGTCACAGAAATTTCAACACATATCTTTCTTACAAAGAAGTCACAGAAATTTCAACATGTACTGTATCTTGCTTACAAAGAAGTCACGCAAATTTCAGCAGCTGCTGCTATGTCCCCATGTTGCTTTTCTTATTCAAACACCACACCCCGAACTTGTTTCCATATCTTGCTCTATTTCTTATATGCATTAATTGTTTCCAGTCACCACAGCTCCTATTGCACACTCCAACAACCCTTGATTCACTGCCTTTCTAGCAGTTCCCCAACTTTGCTCGACAGCCACCCTGGCAAAATTGGAAGCTACTTGTCCTCTGGGGCTTCTACACTGACATCTTGTGCTCCTTGGCTGTTGCCTCCGTCTCTCATGAGTTCTCTAGCAATAATTCACAGAAATGTTATAGTTGGACTACCCTCATTTTCTTTCTTTCTTTTTTTTTTTTTTTTTTTTTTTTTTTTTTGTCTTTCTGAGACAGGGTCTCGCTACGCAGTTCGGGCTGGCCTTGAGCTCACTTTGTAGCCCAGGCTGGTCTCGAACTCGGGAAGATCCTCCTGCCTCAGCCTCCCGAGTGCTGGGATTACAGGCGTGCACCACAACACCTGGCCCTACCCTCATTTTCTTAATTTTATTAAAAAGCTTAGTTGTTGCTAAGCACAGTGGCACATGTCTGCAATCCCAGCACTTGAACTGGAAGTTCCAGTGCACCAGGGCATTTTATGGAGACCTCGTCTCAAAATAAATATAAAAATAAAACGGGTTGGGGAGGTACTTTAGTGAGAGAATGCCCTGAGTTCAGTCCCCAGGGCCACAAAAAAAAAATGTACATAACTTTTAAGGGGTTGGTTTTGTCTTTGTGGTGCCGGAGATCAAACCCTTGGCTTCACACTTCTCGGCAAATGCTGTATCACTCATTACCTACCAGCGCTATTTAAAGCTTAGGCTCTAGCTTTTCACAGCAAGAAATCACATGATGAATTACTAATAATCTTATGATGATATTCTTCTAGAAGCATCTTACTGAAATCTCAAAAGGCTAATATTAGAGATATTAACGCAAAATAATTTAATAGGATAGCATTTCCACCACATTTTTATCTGCATATAGAAAGTGATGTTGCTGATCTTACCTGATGACCCCCGTATCTGTGAGTCAATGGAACAGATCCAAACACTATCTTCCCACCGCTTACAAGCTGGATAAAATCATCTGTTTCTGAGACAGAGACATCAAGGTCCAAAATGTCTTCTAGAACATCCTGAGGCAGGAAAAAGTATAAATCTTAGAGACCCAAGCAATCTTTTAATAATTTTCAAGGAAAAAAACCTATTGGAAGAAAAAAAATCTCTTCCCAAAATATACTATTAATATTTTTCACCAAAGATATAGCATGCTGTCTGATTATTTACGCTATTTGAGGAAAATCAGTTCTTTTAGCTGGTTCTAAAATTTTCATGGGTTTCCTGTGATGCGCAGTAAAACAATACTTCTCCTAGCAGGTGGTCTTTTAAAGAACTAAAAAAAGCAAATGAACTAAAACAAAGCAAATTTACTATTTTAATTTCAAATTTATTTATACCATGACAGAAAAATTTAGAACTTGTTATTTGAGACCATTTCTAACCATTATTTACAAAAAGAATTTAGTTTCCCCTTTTTTCTTTTTTTTTTTTTCCAGTATGGGGAATTGAACTCACCACCTCGCGCTTGCCAGGCAGGCGCTGTGCGGCTGAGCAAAATCCCCAGCCCCTCCCCTTTTCCCATAAATGCATATATTGTATTCCTCATAAGATAACTGTAAGATGAAAACATAGGAGTAAGAACAAAAAACTAATTGTGAGAAGATATGTACCAACTATCTAAGCTTTAGTCATTTATCAATACATTAGCAATATTACATTTGAAAAAAATTACTTTTAAGGCAAATATTTTAGTTAAGAATTCCTGGTGTGAAAAAATAAAGCCTAACCTTTGAAACTGCTACGAGACGCACTCTTGATTTGAAAGGAGTAGGGAAGGCAATTGAAAATATACAATTTTCCACTTTACGAACATAATTTTCTTTCACAGGATCAACTGGAAACACAGCTGATGAAAACAAAACAAAATCCTTTTTAATTTTCTCATCTGTTGCATATACAGCATAAATATTTTTTAGAAGAACTATTGTTCTTCAAAAAAACACACAACTTAGTTGTTGAGCCTATCATTTCCAACGCTATTTATCCAATACTCATACAGTATACAGACACTGAGCATCCCCAATCTGAAAATCTAAAATCTAAAATGCTCCCAAGGCCAGTGATAAACTCAGTGGCACAGCAGCTACCTGGCAAGCGCAAGGTCCTGAGTTCAATTCTCAGCACCCAAAAAATTAAAAAATAAAAATAAATAAAGTGTAAAAATAAAAGTTCCCAAATCCTAAACTTTCTGAGCACCCATATGATGCCACAGGTAGAAAATTCCAGATCTGGCTTCATGTGACAAGTCACAGTCAAAATGCAGGTACATTACTAATACTGTATAAAATTGCCTTCAAGGGGGTCAGGGATATAGCTCAGTGGCACAGCACTTGCCTGGCAACCACAAAGTCCTGGTTCAATTCCTGGTAGCAAAAAATAAAACTAAAAATAAGGCTGGGTGTGGTGGCGCACGCCTGTAATCCCAGCACTTGGGAGGCTGAGGCCAGGAGGATCTTCCCCAGTTCGAGACCAGCCTGGGCTACAAAGTGAGCTCAAGGCCAGCCTGAACTGCATAGCGAGACCCTATCTCAAAAAGACAAAACTAAGTGATTAAAATTGCCTTCAAGCAACAATGTATAAGTGTATGAAACATGAATGAATTTCAGTTTAGATTTGGGTCCCAGGCACAAATATCTCATTATGTATATACAAATATCATAAAATGTAAAAAGTTTCAAAGTCCAAAACATTTCTGGTCCAAAGCATTTCATAAAGGAATACTCAATCTGTATATCAATCTACCCAAAAGAATGGGAGATAGAAAAAATTCAAAACAATAAGGCATATATCCTATCTACAAAGATTTCCACTTATGGGAAACAAACAGGATATATAACATACTTATAAGCAAATGGAGGTGAGCTGCATTACAATATTAGAATTTTAGCCAGTGAAGCCAAAACCATTTTAGCCACTTAATGAAATGCACGATGTTCCTAAGAAACACATGACCAAAGGAAACAGATACGTTTCTGGGTAGAAATTACATTGGCAAAACATGTCACCAAATTACTTAATAAACATAGTAAAAATCTAATCAAAACACTGGTGGGATTTTTTTTGAAGGAATAGACAGATTTGAATTGCAAATCTGAAAAAAAAAACTGTATAGTTCTTTTGTTTTTGTCTTTTTTAGACAGGGTGTCAATATGCATTTCAGGCTGGCCTTGAATTTACAATGATCCTCCTGCCTCAGCCTCCTGAGTGCTGGAATTACAGGTGTGCACCACCATGGCTGGCTAAATTTTTTTTTTAAAACAGGAGAAAAGAGAGTGTTTGCTTATCATATTACAAATTATAAATGTATAAAAACTAAAAGTATTATTATTCCAAAAATAAAAGCAAAGATCCATGGAACTCAATAAAAAGCACAGGTACAACGCAGTGATACAAGTTCCCCTATAGTGAAAATGGTACTTCAGGTCAGCGGAGAAAGGTGGCACAAGGACAATTAGCTCAACTATATGGAAGAACTGCAATTTATCGATTACAACAGAAATGAAATAACAGGAAAATGTGGGCCAGAGTTAAGCTTTATACTTTCTTTCTTTCTTTTTTTTTTTTTCGGTTGTCTTTTTGAGACAGGGTCTCACTATGCAGTTCAGGCTGGCCTTGAGCTCTTTGTAGCCCATGCTGGTCTCGAACTCACAATGATCCTCCTGCCTCAGCCTCCCAAGTGCTGGGATTACAGGCATGCGCCACCACACCCAGTTTTATTCTTTCCTTCTAAGTACACAGTGAATAAGGCAGCATTATAGAGGACCAAATGGTAGGCAATCAAAAAAATCTGAGCATCCACCATGGAAAAATAATTAGGAGTAGAAGATCCCACAGTGTGTCTTCTCTTCTAGGGGACCCTTTGTGTTGAATTGACTAAATGATATAACCAGCACACTTCTCTTTACAATGCTTTAACATTTTAGTAGAAAATGGGCCATATTTAATGATGTATTTGCAGTTGTGGTATGTTCTGAATGATGCACATTTTGGTAATGAGCTGATCAACCAGCATATGTGCTGATGATCATGAAACTACAGGATTCAGTGATATTCCCCCTTCACCCTTGTGACACTTACACTAGCCACGGATTAAAGACCCCAGAGAAGAGATAGGAGTGTAGCTTAGTCAGAGAGCACTCGCCAAGCATGCGTGAGGCCCTGGGTTGATCCCTGGCACAGGAAAAACATACCTGCTAAATTTTCAGTGTAACTGAACCTTTTGTTAGTAAACGTTCTTAGCAGAAGTTATGCTGATAACTCACTGATCTTTTATCTAATAACACCCAGAGATGTTTCATGCAGTACTATGAACCAAGACATGATAATATATGTAGTATTATGTAGTAGTAAGTTTGTAATTTGTCTTTTTTGTTTTTTGAGATAGGGTCTCGCTATGTAGTACAGGCTGGTCTTCATCTAAGTAGTCCAAGGGTCCTTGAATTCACCATGATCCTCCTGCCTCAGCCTCCTGAGTGCTGGGATTACAGGTGTGCACCACCACACCTGGCTGTAAATTCTCTTTGGGTTATCGCTTACCTAAAATAATGTTTCAAATAGTATCATCAATATGGCAAGAAAGTATCCTGAAATGTCACCCTCCAACATTGAAATGACAACTTTGAAAATACTTTCAGTGACACATTCAGTCCCTTTTCACCCATCAGTACTGTTTGTCTCCTTTGTATAAATGCAGAAAAACATCAGTTGTTTCTGGACTGTGTACAAGTCTGTTCTTTGGTTTTTTGTTGGTTTTTTTTTTTTTTTTTGGCAGTACTGGGGATCAAACTCACAACCTTGTGTTTGCCAGGCAGGCGCTTATGCCACTGAGCTATATCCCCAGCCTGAGAAGCCTGTTCTTTAGCAGTTACCTGCACAACTTGTTTGGACTTCCTGGACTCAAGGTTGGTTTGGTCTCAAAGACCACTCTTGAATTCTGCATGTCCTGAAGCTGTTGTCCCTCAAGGGTTTAAACATACAATAATGTGGGAGGCCTTCATAAGTTTCACCTGCTTTCCCTTCTTAACCTTGCTGTGCTACACCTTAGCGCCAGGGGCATTTGTTTTAATCTGGCCAAGAAATCACTAAATGTAGATGACCTGACAGGATTATGCAAAGAGCTACCTTTGCCAACTGTGGTTTAATTCCTCTATTACCTGTTTATCTGCTAAAAAGTGCAAATGGTAATTGGCACAAGGAAAGAGTTTGTTGCTACACTCTACTTTGGCAAATTCTACCAGTTCCGTGTGTCTTAACGTATATGCCTAATCTAAATCAAGATCAACCACATTTGTATATTAACAACTTTTCCTGTGAAGCACTTTGCATGTTTTTAATCTTCAGGATTAGAAAAAAGATCTAATAGACTTCTTATTCTACATCGCTTTTATTCAGTAAGAAAACTACAGTTTTAGGATAAATATGAAAATAATGTGCTCAGCTGTTGGACTATTTATACTCATTATACAAGTGTGGTTCCAATGGAGAAAAAAAAAACATGTGTCAGAGAAATGCAGTTATTTGTTGGTCAATTTCCCTTTTTTTTTTTTTTTTGGTACCGGGAATCAAACTCAGGACCTTGTGCTAGCCAAGCAGGCACTTTCCTTATTTATTTTTGACACAGGGTTTCGCTATGCAGTTCAGGCTGGCCTTGAACTCACTTTGTGGTCCAGGCTGGTCTCGAACTCGCAGCGATCCTACTGCCGCAGCCTCTTGAGTGCTGGGATTACAGGCACGCACCACCATGCCCCCCGTTTAGCGTGAATTTTTGAGGACAGAGCAAAAGTTTATTTATCTTTGATGCTCACACATTCTTTCATTGGCTGTGTTGTTGTGAAAAGGTTGAATGCTTAATTAGATCACGGATTTATTATGTATACGGTATTTCAGCACCGGAACAGATCTGACACTAGAGCTAAGCAAAGACCTTTCTAACCCTCGTTGGTACCAATCCTGCACATTCTCAGGATATCCTGGGTCGGGTACAAGTAAATTTCACATCACCACGTATCTTTAAATGTCACGTAACTCAGTACATCCAACCGCGGCACTCACACAGGCAGATGTGAGGAGGGCTGTCAAACTCTACCTATAAGGTCTGCAGAAGAGAGGGTCCAAAAGTCGAGAGTCGGGGCCAGTCTAGCGTCTGTGTCGCAATAGCCCTGCCCGCCGTCTGACGTGTTCCTGGAGCGGTGCAGAAGGCCGGTACTCCCTTCTGGAGCGGACTGCAAAAGGCAGCGAGCGGCCGCGTGGCAGGCCACACCCAGGAGAAGCAGCCGCGGGAACCGGAGACTCCGGGCTGGGCAGCGACACTGCAGCCCGACCCTCTCGTTCATTTCCTCCCTCCACACGCACTACAGAACTTCCGTGCTGCACGTCCGGCGCAGGGCGCGCTCGCTAACAGCCGGCCCGCCACAGGGATCTGCGCCGCGACTGTGGACGCCCCCGGCTCCCCGCGGCCAGCGCTGAGGACCCGGCTCAGAAGGTCGCGCTCGGTGGCCTCGGGCTGGCTGCGCCGCCGCCTGCCC